GATAACTTAAATCTATCGAATTTGAATCAATGATGAAAAGTTGTATCATAAATATGCATAGTTTGAATTAATCATGCGTACGCATATATGTGTTATCATTTTTTGAAGACAAAAATGATTGACAAAATGGATGTAATTGTCCGTTTAAGAAGGTAATAATTTAAAGCCTCATTTCGCCGATTAGAGTGAAACACATCTAATTCTGGCAATGATGATGTTCCGTTTAATCAACAATTGTTGGAGTTGTCCTGAAAGTACAAGTTTCAAATATCAATCCAGTATTCGGGAAGTCCACAGGATATGCGAAATATAAGATTTAAGTGCATACTACTATTTGCTGTGACATTCAAGCTTGTGTCTTTGCTGGAATATCTTGATGGTTAAAGTTTGCGACATTACTTAGCTTTTGGATTATTTTTTATTCGAAAAATGATTATTGTGATTGTTCTGTTCCGGAGTGATCTTTCAAGCAAAAATAAAATATATGTATAATCACTATGTAATTTCTAATCAAAAGTTTGAGAAAAATGCGTTCTATTCCGTAAATTGCACACGACTTTAAAAAAAATGTAGCCTCCAACTGTCCTCTGGTTATTTGTATCGTTGGGTTGCTGTCTCGTTGGGTTGCTGTCTCGCTAGGTTGCTGTCTCGGGGACGTATATCCCAAATCTTTAATTCACACATATAAGCTATTCTGATAGAAGCATCAGATAACAAATCTATAACGACGCAGAACCTGTGAACATGATTATCTTATCTATAATGTCAACTCGAATTGATTTTAGTATTCGTCTTTTGAATTCCCAATACCAACTCAGCGGAGATTATATATATTTATATCGTTAAAAAAAAGCAATACAAAAAAAAAAGAAAAAGAAAAAAAAAACATATTCCAATGTGAAGATGCATGTACGTTGCTACCATATTTGATTGCTTAGGATTTTTTTACAGCAATGAGTTGTCTTCTCCTTTGTTTATCTTCTAGCATGTAAGAGAACAACAATTCAAAGGAGGAAACGGAAGGGCAATGATTTATAGTTCTTTGTATTTCTGGCAATGTTTTGACAGATTGCATTGTTAATTATAGAAAGTGTGGGATGTTTCTTAACTGATCGTGATGTTTATTTTTAAATCAATGTGACATCATACGCGGTAGATAAGTAAATATATGAATAATATATTTGATCAATAGCAGATATAAAATATATACTGGTGAACAGTAAATCTAAATATTTTAATACAATATAGGAGGTAATAGTTAAAGCTGTAAGTTTTTCATTATTTTTTCTGTGATTTCCGACTAACAACATGCAAGGATGTCCATTTACAGAACTTATTAGTTTATCTAATTAAAGGATTTTCAACAAATGATAAAAGAAAATGATAATTATAAGAAATGAAGATTACCAACAGTATATCTTGTTTTCACAGTACTTTTTTAATTGTTTGCAAAATTCTGCCGTTCCATCTTCATGTCGTAGTGTTACACTGCATTCCTTTTCATTTATATTTACATAGAAATAACATGTTTCATTCTTAATAGTCTTAAAGATTTGGTTTACTTTACAGAAGATTGTAAATTAATTCTGAAAAGTTTTGAAAAACAATTTCTATTCCGAAAACATCTGCCTAACGAGGGGACTAACTCTCTATTTCTGACCGTTTCTCTATCGTGGTTCAATATGCACATTGTAATTTAAATACATAATTTACCACTTAACCTCTTTTACTCCCCTTTCTTGAATGTACACAAAGTACATGAAGTAATTTTGCAGCTACAATTTCATTTTTTCATTCGAGTGATTTTTTAGGGGTTTACTTTGGGATGACATGGACTTTATTTTTCTATCTGGATTGTTTTGGTGATTTTTCTCAGAAAATAATAAATATTGCAATATTTTTGAGCTTTGCACTCTCTAAACCTCTCGTAATATTATTATCGATCAAAGATTTCGGACTGAAAACAAATCTGAAACTAAATCTATATCAGCAGATTGTAGCATGTAAGAAGTAAAACTGATGGCACACAAATGATTGACACATTTGAATTGTACGATTTGGAAAAAAAAAATTACAGGAATGACGAGTCAAATTTTCAGACAAGGGGAAGGAACTCTACTTAAAAATAAATGCACAATTTGTAACGGTTTATTAATATAAAGGTAATTTTGAATGCAAGTGACATATAACGATTTTCATGAAAGGCTTTCACAAATGTGCATACTGTTGTAAAAATAATGGCAAGTGCTTCTAATGGATACAAACGAAAGTCTTTCACAGTACCAAGTTGAAATGTTTATGTCCATTTCTTAATAGACTTACAAATGTTATTATAACTCATTAAATTCCTGAATAATGCTACATTTACATCACTAAAAGGGGTCATACATGTATATGGATAATGGCAAATAAAATGCCTTCTCGTTTAAGGGCTCAGGAATCTTGATTTCTTTTATTTTGATAAACTTTTAAATATATCATTACCCAGTTTTTACTACCATTCGATATATACATGATATATATAGCAATAATGTTGTGATAGCCAATGAGACAACAATCCATAAAGACCAAAGGACAAAGATGTGAACGATTACAAATTTCACACTTCATTAGTCAGTATTTTGTTTACAATTCTAAAGTTGTAAATGATTATTTGTTGGGTACTGGGTAGTATATTTTACTACTTAAGTTTTATTCCTGGTCTCATTCGAATAGCACCGCCTCGGTGGTCTTAATGTAGCATCCTGGCTTTGATGCTGGGAGGTCGTGTGTTCAAACTCCGGCCGCGTGTCAAACCAGAGAATTGAAAATTGGCATTTGCTGCTTCTCCGCTAAGTACACGACATTTAGTAGTTAGAACCCGAGAACAAACACTGATCGGCTTGAAGTCAGAATAATATGTCCGGGTAGAGTGACATGTCTTCCTTCGAAATGCAATCTTATTAAAATATCGATTTCTGATTTCGCTATTCTTATACTCAATAACTAGCAAGCGAGTTGTGATATATAAAGATATAAACTTTAATCAGATTGTGCGGACTGTTATCTTTTGAACTAGCACGTTACAAATCAAGCTCTGCATGTCGGTCTCGTACAAAGCAGGGATTGTTTAAATATCGGATTATAAAGTTCTCGTCCTGAATTATGTAGTTAATTAGCCACTGGACGTTAAACACCCATCCATCATCACCATAACTCGTATATCTTTCTATTGGTTTTACTTTCGATATCTTAGTCTAATTTTGACCAAAACAATTTCGTTGACTGAACACTTAATCATGGATACATGTATCAAAACAGAATGTTGTGTAACTTTTGTTGTTTACATGATAAGACAGATGACACATTCATTGCACTGACAAGAAGCCGCACGTTCTGAAGATTGGCTTGGTGCCACGCTTATTGACTATAAACTAACAAAAACTCTGTTTAATTTACTTATTGAACTTTATGCAATAACACATACATTTTACATAGAACTATAAATTTATGGATGAAATAAATAAAAAAAATATTATTCATTTTATCATTAAATGCTTAACTTTTATTCTTAAGCGTATATCGTTTTAAAAGTATTCTCAACTTTTACACTTTTACGTGGACAAAAATAATCCCTCTTATAACTTGATGAGTATATCTCGCGTCCATCGTTGAAGCTATAAGGTCGTGCAATAATCAGTGGGTAACAAAGCCCTTATCAATCTCATCTGCTAAGAAAAGATGATAGGTTATCTAAGATAAGCAAGTTGAACGGAAACTGCTAAGGAATATTTTGCATGAACAGGTGCTTGCAATTGCAGGTGGAAGGTATTCCCTATAATTCTTGTTTAATTTGAGGAACCTTACAGAAACTAACAGGAATTTAAACATGATAAATTAAAAGAAGATTATAAATGATTATAAGAAAATTATTATTAATTAAAAGAAGCTTATTAAAGGGACTGTCCTTTAATCATTCATAATTTACAAAAGTATCGTGACAGGGAACACCTATGAACATTCTCACCATACATACCAAAGGGCATTGTTATAGGGTAGACATTTAAACATTATCACTGTACATACCATAGAGGATAATCTTCCTCAAAGGTGTCAATCCAAGAGTTAACTCGTATACAGAACTATAATATAAAAAAGAAGATGTGGTATGATTGCCAATGAGACAACCCTCCACAAGAGACCAAATGACACAGAAATTAACAACTATAGGTCACCGTACGACCTTCAACAATGAGCAAAGCCCATACCGCACAGTCTAATGTATGCTCATCTTTGAAATTCTCAGTAAAAAACCTGCTAAAATGGGACCTCCATTTGGCGTTGCGTGATGCATAAATACGCAGACACGTCTGGTCGTAGAATACCATGCCGCGTGAAGAGTGTCACTCTCTCTGCACGTTTATGAATCTTTTCAAAACGCCTCTTAGTTGTGTTGTCGATTGTTTTTATCTTGATTGATCTGTAATTGCTTTCTGCTTTCAGTGCAATTTAGTTGAATGATTTAAAATTACAACTAAAATGATATCCCTATTATTTCATAGGACTTTGCCGTTCAAATAATGTTCCTTTTTCGATAAATCAAATGCCAGTTATCGTAAAATGTCTCAGTATTAACCAAAATTTAAAAAAAATAAACTTTTGTTTTACACATTACCACTGCTGGTTATTAATGTAGAAAAACAAAAATAAATTGACACTGCAATTACACAAGACTGTAACACTCAAGTTTACATAATACCAATACACAATAGGAAGATATTGCAAAAAAGAACAAAAAGCATAAAAATTATGACGTATGGAAGTACATTTGATTAATATTAGCTATCTTGTATCAAGGATGTCTTAGATTAAGCTGTTGGTGTTTCTACCTTGTCTTATCTTAAAGAATACCAGACTGCAAAATTATATATCTGGATTCGTCAATGCATTATTCTGCGTCAGGGCATGACAAACAAGTTATCTGCCCTTGTTTTCGTCTGAAGACTGAACGTCTGTTTTGTCAGTAATTGTACCTTTTCTCTGCCGACAACAGTGGTTATATTTTTGAAAGACCAAAGATGTTTCGTCCAACCATTGTGTGATTTAAATACTTTTAGTTAATAATACCACAATGAAAGTAGTTTCTATAGGTATTTAAAAACATTTAAGTGAGATAGAGTGGACTCAAAGTTATATTTCGAAAATTCAAATCGTCGCCATGGAAAAGTTTTATCGTAACGGTATGGCGGTTCAGCTTCCGGTTTTAAATAAGTCATCATTTTTCAGGTATGTTAGTAACAATAAGCACATCATGTAAAGGAAATTAATTATATCTTGACATGCCCCGTTGTTGTTTTTTTTCATGTTTGTATGGACATGAAATTTGAAAGTGAGATTCTCGTGCCTTTTATAACAGTAATTATTAGATTTCTTTGCAAGGTATGATTAATAATTTGTCAATATGACACAGCAGCTATGTAGTTGGGCTAGGACTCGCAGTGAGGGGACTAGGGACCGTCTTGGACTCGCAGTGAGCAAGAGTTTTGATCCATTAACGTTCTGCGGCAAATTAAATGTATATTCAGAACGAGAACATGAAATGTAACATGCATATATATTCATCCTGCTTTAGACCGACACGCTGAGCCCGAGTAGTCACAAGATAAATGTCCGCAGGATGACATCGCAAACTACCTGGACACATTATTCTGACTCTGAGCCGACCAGTCTTTAATCTTTCTCCTTAAAGATGCGTGCTTACCGGAGAAACAGGAAATTCCAATTTTAAAGTCTTTGGTTTGACCCAGATGGGGTTCGAACCAATAACCTCCCGCACTCGAGGCGGTGCTCCACTTTGAAGGCCTCACTGTGACTTCGAAATGAAGAACAGCAATTAAAGCGCTGTTACATTGCTTTTTTTATCATGTGTGTGTTATGATCTAGCACGCCTAGTGTCATGAACTAACTAATACACCATAACTTTTATGTCACGTTTAGCAATATGTCTATGTGGTAGTATTTTTTGCTAATAGGCTTTGCAATTTTAGCGCCAAATTTGAAAGAAAAAGTAATAAATGTGTTCGTAGTTGTCCTTAGAACGTCGCCAGTATTTGTCTTATGTTATGTCTTGATATTTTCTTTTATTTGGAAAGTTGGGTTTTAATTGCAGAGCTTTAATAATTTAAAAAAAATTAATTAGACTTGGAAAGTTTGGAGCTTGTGTAGACAGCTGTATATGTTGAAGACTGTTTATTGATATATTTTGGTTAATTTTGTCCTTTGGTAACTGTCTCTTGACTTCTATCCCACATCTCATTTTATTCATATTAAAAGAAGTCAGTCATAATGGTATGGAATCCCGACGGCCGGGGAGTAAATATTGGCCGCGATACCAGGCAATGCATGGTTGATTTTTATGCCCCCGCCGTGGCGGAGGGGGCATTAAGTTTTACCCTTGTCTGTCTGTACGTACGTACGTACGTACGTCCTAAAGTTGGTTTCCGTTCTCTAACTTTAGTTTGCCCCAACCAAATGTTATGAAACTTACACACAATGCTTATTACCACAAAACACAGATCAAGTTCGAATTTTGGTAGCGTTACTTTGACCGTTCTAGAGTTATGTCCTTTTACAAACGGAAAAATTGCTGAATTTTTCGTTTTCGTTCTCTAACTTAAGTTAGCCTCAACCAAATGTTATGAAACTTATACACAATGCTTATTACCACAAAGCACATATTAAGTTAGAATTTTGGTGGCGTCACTTTAACCGTTCTAGAGTTATGCCCCTATACAAATGGAAAAATTGCTGAATTTTTCGTTTCCGTTCTTTAACTTTAGTTTATTTCAACCAAATATTAAGCAACTTATACACAATGCGTATTACCACAAAATACAGATCATCTTTTAATTTTGGTGGTGTCATCATAACCGTTCTAGAGTTATGCCCCTTTACAAATGGAAAATTGCTGAATTTTTCGTTTTCGTTCTCTAACTTAAGTTAGCATCAACCAAATGTTATGAAACTTATACACAATGCTTATTACTACAAAACACAGATCAAGTTAGAATTTTGGTGGTGTCACTTTAACCGTTCAAGAGTTATGCCCCTTTACAAATGGAAAAGTTGCTGAATTTTTCGTTACTGTTCTTTAACTTAAAGGGAAATCACACTATTTATACTACTAATAATAATTCATTGAAATTTTGCATGTAGACAGATCATACTTATTAAGATATTTTAGGCGAAATAAAAATTGGGGTCACCGATGTTGTTTTCGAGATATGACGTCATCAAAACTTAAGGAATCGCGTTATAACGAAATATAGAAATACCGCTCTAAATTGTTAAAAAAAGACAAACTTATTGAAAAACTATGTTTAACTGGAATAACAAAAACAGTCAAATGTAACTTGTACCTTATGAACATTTATTTGTCTCGGTTTCCTTATTTTTGAAGACATTTGAACATTTTCCGCCATTTTTAATTGCTATTTATAATAGATTTTTCTTGAAATAAAAAAAATCTACTAATGTTTTTCCCTTCAAACTTCTGCAAAAGTTGCAGCTTCAGGGAAGATTTTGAAAGCATAAATAAAAAAGGGGGGTCACCGATGTTTTAAATCCGCTAAAACGGAAATAATCTTTATTATTAAATTTTGGCGGGAACTATAACCTTTTAACGTTATAGAACGACGTTGCTGGCATAACAGCATTTCTTGCAACTCTTGGGTTGAATTAAACCTTTTCACTACAAAATATTATATCATTTTTGAACATTTTTTAAGGTATTTTGATTATTCATTGATATCTTTATCAATCTATCGAATCGTTAAACATAGATACAATAACAGTTTATTATAAAGTAATTGTCAAAGTTGAAGTCATCTCATTTTTTTAATTGCATTTGTTGTATGGGGAAAACGAATGTTTGCCTCATGCCGTATTATAGAAATAATTTTCGGCTTCCAGATAAAGAATCTTCTACCTCGGAAGACTGAGGGTATCCGGGCTGAAAAGTAACACGTTCCTTTTAGACTGCAGGCAGAATAATTTCGTTACCATAATTTCACTAGCTTGTCCATTCGCACCGGGAAGATAAAACCTGAAATGCCGTGTTTAAAATGCCACAAACTCAGCACTTTAAAAGAAACCTATTTTCGGTAGGAATTTAAAATTGGTTCCGTAATTACACAATGCTTCATAATTTATTCGAACTGTGGAAACCAAATTTTTTTCTGAGTTCTATCATCCCGCACCCATTTTTCATACATCGTTTCATGTTCATTGTACATAATATGTTCAATGTTCATCGCCTGTGTATTAAAACTTTATGTACATGTATTACGTATATTCTATTATATATATATACTGTTCGATTAATCGCTCAACGTTGGTATGTTATGAGAAATACAATGCATCTGATAATTTAGAGTTAATTGACAATGAAATACACATCGCCATATTGATATCAGGAACATATAATGTTCCCAGTTGATGTATTTAAAAAAATCTTTTAATTTGTAATAAACGGATCTAGTTTTTTTTCTTGTTCTGCTACATCTATCCGTGTTTCTGTGGACATGTCGATATATTTTATCTAACTCTAGTTTTTTTGTCGAGCCTTCGACTTTAGTCGAAAAAGCGAGACATAGCGATCCTACATTCCGTCGTCGGCGTCGTCGTCGTCGTCGTCGGCGGCGTCGGCGTCGTCGTCGTCGTCGTCGTCGGCGGCGGCGGCGTCCACAAATATTCACTCTGTGGTTAAAGTTTTTGAAGTTTTAATAACTTTCTTAAACTATCCTGGATTTCTACCAAACTTGGACAGAAGCTTGTTTATGATCACAAGATAGTATCCAGAAACAAATTTTGTAAAAATAAAATCTATTTTTTCCGTATTTTACTTATAAATTGACTTAGTTTTTCTGCTAGGAAACAATACATTCACTCTGTGGTTAAAGTTTTTAAGATTTCAATAACTTTCTTAAACTATCCTGGATATGTACCAAACTTGGACAGAAGCTTGCTTATGATCAAAAGCTTGTATCTCGAAGGATATTTTGTCAAAATTTTGTACCTGTTTATCCGTATTTTACTTATAAATGGACTTAGTTTTTCTTCCAGTCAACATTACATACAGTATGCAGTTAAAGTTTTTAAAACATTTATTAGATCCATAAACTATCCTAGATTTATACCAAACTTGGACAGAAGCTTCTTACAATCAAAAGATAGTATCGAGAGGAATATTTTTATTGATTTTTTTTCTCATTTTTGTTGAGCCTGCGATTAACAGCAAAAGTAGGCGAGACACTGGGTTCCGTGGAACCCTTACGAATTTTTTTATCAGATGACAAATGAGAGTGTGGATAACCTTTGATGTAGAATAAGAGTTCGAGTTCCAGCTAAATTTAGAGTTTTATTTTTTGTTCGAATGTTAATTCGAGTAAGAGTTCTAGTTAAAGCTCGAGTTCCACTTAGAAACTTCCGAGTTATACTGTAAGATAGAATAAATTCTGGTAAGAGTTAAAATTTTGAGATCTGAGATCCGATGAAATTAAAAGAAAGATTGCAGTTTCTAATTTCTGTTGGTGCACCTCTCTTTCTTGAATTGTATATTCTTTTATCACATTTATGTTTCAGTATGGTATAGCCTGTATACTTTTTTTTGCAAAAACTGATTAATGATAGGTACATGTAATTGGAAAATAACTGATTGATTGTGTGTGCCACTTTCAGCACTCTGCTATATCATGTTGGCCTTTTTTTTTTAAAGAACCAAGGTATCAAGAGTAAATCAGCTACCTCTGTATTAAACAAATGGTTGTCCTTTACAGTCATGATCGGAATCTGACAATCTCCCTATATCACTGTTTGTTGACACGCAAGTGATCACATTGAGTGATCTGAACACGAACCAACATCTGAACTACTAGTTTTTTCTTGTTTTTGTTTTCGTTTTTTTCTTGATTCTTGCAAAACTTTCAGTGGCAAATATTACATGAATATCAGCACAATTTTTTTTTCTATATGAGATGAATACTCTTTCACAAGACGGACCTTAATGTGATGGTTACAGATTAGCACTCTGAAAGACATGTTACTCTACATAAATACATGTGTGTGTATTAAATATTTCTCTTGTTGGAGTCTTGTTAAGCCAAATATACAGTGTGGATTTTTTGTTGTTGTTGTTGTAGGCAGTACGGTCATCAATAGTACAAAAATAACTAGGCATAGTGTTTGATATTCCCAGATTGCTCTGACGTCTAGCGGCCTTATTTTTTAACTTGCTGGTCGTACAGTTCGCTATAATTGACAGTTTGAAGAAATACTACAAATATGATTTTTTTGTGCCCAAATTATGTAAGCCTGTACAAAGCATTAAAGGAAGATTGAGTATAATGTACTATATAATACGGTGCTAAATTTTCTTTGATTTCGACAGACAGCAACCGATGTAAAATTTTGTATGCTTCTTTTACAGTGATGTTTAACTGGCGTTATTCTTATATAACGCTTGATATTTCAACAAATATGATTACTCTACGAATCACTCGTGTTCATGTGTTTGTGCCCCCATACCCCCCTTCCAAAAAAAAAAAAGAAACAGAGAGAGAGAGAGAGAGAGAGAGAGAGAGAGAGAGGCGTTTGACACCAAAGGAACATCGAAACTCATTGTTCTTATTTACATCCCTCTGTTGGACAGAAAACTACAAATTCCGGAAGCTGTCCGCTTACATGCTGTTACTCTTGGTATATTGTTATTTTTTCCAGTATATTCCCACATACCGCATCGCGACGATACGCTGCCAACAGTTGGGTTACACTAATTGCAGGACAATTGCCCGTATTGACCGGATGAGATATAAATAGTCAGAACTTTTTTGTTATTTGATAGATTATTTTAATATTTGAAGACCTTAGAGATATTAGACTATATTTTATGAATATTTAACAAAAAAAAGTTGACCGGACGGATTTCACACTCACTGATGTACGCTTTACAATATTGAACTGATCGACAAAAAGTGTTACTAGTAATATTTACAATATTTTTTCATACAACTAAGAAATCTGCGATATAAATAGTTATCTTACATGAAAATTTAAATTTCATAGTAAAACAAAATGTTTTTCTAAAAAAAAAAGTTGACCGGACGGATTTCACATTCGCCGATGTACGCTTTGATTATACTGAAATGATCGACAAAAAGTGTTATAAATATCTCTTTTGTTTTTAAATATTTTTTTTCTTCGTGAAACTAAGAAATCTGCGAGATCAATAAATATGTTAATATAAGAAAATATAAACTTTCCAGTAAATAAAAAAAGTTTTTCTACAAAAAAAAGTTGAGCTGACGGATTTCGCTACAAATAATAAAGACCAGATCAACAAAAAATGTTGATATTTCTAATATCTAACAATATTTTTCGGTGAAATTAATAAACCTTTAAGAAAAATAATTGTATAAATGGTATTGTATGTAAATACTAACTCAATAATAATATCTTTATTTAAAGAGAGTAACTCATTTGAATTAAACCCAATCGTAAGGTAATTCAAGACCATATCAAGACCACTTTCGGCTATTTTTTTGCCATACATTTTGTCCGTTTCGAGTAGCATTTTCATTTTTTGCACTTAAATCAAAACGTCATTTGCTTTCTCTTGATTTAGTGAACGTCCCTTTGAGCGGGCCGCCATTTTAGAAATTAGCAACCTTTACGACGGACTCGAAACGGCGACGTCATAATACGGTCACGACACTATAGTGGCGCCGAGAGCGATGCGTATAAACAATAGTGTGATTTCCCTTTAAGTTAGCTTCAACCAAATATTAAGAAACTTATACACAATGCTTATTACCACAAAATACAGATCAAATATGAATTTTGATGGTGTCACTTTTACTGTTTTAGAGTTATGCCCCTTTACAAAAGGAAAAATTGCTGAATTTTTCGTTTCTGTTCTCTAACTTAAGTTTGCCTCAACCAAATTTTATGAAACTTATACACAATACTTATTACCACAAAACTCAGATCAAGTACAAATTTGGGTAGAGTCACTTTTACCGTTCTTCAGTTATGTCCCTTTATATTTTTATATGATATGCAAGCGGGGGCATCATCTGTGTCCCATGGACACATTCCCCATTTATTTTGGTTAACTTCAACAAGCACATACGATATTAAAAGTTTAAGATATGAATACAGGTATATCAATAAAGAGAGGTGTGATGTATGCGCTATGCACAGCAACGAAACGAAACGACAACATTAAATAAACGACTCCTTGACAGTAAAGGTTCCGTTACCAACATCCAGTTTTTTTTCCGGCCGGACTATTACTAACAGTAACTGTCCATTTCTTCTGACTGATTAAGATTACGCGCATGATGAAATATTATCAATCTAAAAGTACGAAGATCTGGTATAATTGTCAATGAGACAACTCTCCACCTGAGACCAAATGACGTAGAGGTTAACAACTATAGGTCAGTGAACAAAAACCATACCGCATAACAAGCTATTATAAAGCCAACAACATGACAATTCCAAAACAATTCAAACGAGAAAACTAATGGCCTTATTTATTTACAAAACAAAAAAACGAAATATGTTACCACATTAACTCACTAACAGTGCAATTTACGGAAATTTGTTGTTCTTCTATGGTTCTATAACGTATCAAAAGAAGTATTAGAAAAGGCTGGGAAAGTTTTGTTGTTTTTGTTTAATTTGTGCGTTACTTTTACATCAAGAATGAGTATGCATGTTGTCGAATCATTCCACTGGAAAATATAATTCATTTATAACAATATTCCCGCTTTTTACTATTTTTACTTATTTCTATTGTTTAACTTATAGCATATCATTTACTAATTTTATCCTCTAAAAGAAGTGTTTAGATTTTGAACTCAATCATAAACACTGTTTTTGTGCTGGTTTTTCAAGGTGTTCTATAGCGCTAAACATGTTTATTGAACTCAAATGTGTTAAAGACATGTTCTGCTGCAAAACTGTTAACGTGTTAGACGTGTTTACTATATAAACATCTATCATCTTCTTACGATCCCGTAGGATGGGCTACTCATTAGCCTCGAAGCCAGATGCATGACTAAAGAAATTGTCTAGAAAATATAGCCTGTTTCATGATTAAACTTGGCGACAGGACCTTGAATTACTGGCACAGTTCAGCAATGTTCTCGTACAGTGCCCTATACTTATTTAAATTGTTAATATAAATAAGAAGATGTGGTATGAGTGCCAATGAGATAACTATCCATCCAAGTCACAATGTATAAAAAGTTAACAATTATAGGTTTAAGTACGGCCTTCAACACGGAGCCTTGGCTCACATCGAACAGCTAGCAATAAAGGGTTAAGGCCAATTTACACCCAACAAATGTGTTGTTTTGAGCATACATACAGTGAATTATGTTTGGGGTTGGTATCTTTAAGAGTAGTTTTGCTTTCAACACCCACATCTCGCTTCAAGGTAAAACAAACTAATTTGATAGAAAAAAACTAAGGAACAGTAGCACGCTTATATCAGGACACATAACTCCTGTGTGGAATATATAAATATTTTTGAGATAATTTTGAAAATATTAATATGGTGCTGTTGTCTGTGAAAAATTTCGAAGGCAGTTTTCATGAATGAATCTTAATTTTCACTCTACGAATATATATATATTGGCGAATAAAACGGCTTACTTTGAAAAGCATAAAATACTTATCGCGGATCAAATTAACTAAAGAGAGCTTAAATTATCAATTAAATTCAAAGCTGTATCTGAAGTCGATATTAAATAAACAGGCTACAAATCTCAAGCTCTTGTGAGCTTGATTGTCCAATTATTTCTGACGGAGTTACTAGTCTGTCAAAATACCTATAAACATGATATAATAATTAACAATACACTAAACAATGAGTGAATCAGACCTGAAAGTTAGGACAATTTATTTCAACAATGTTAACTTTACTAGAAAACACTAACACAAACAATAAAGTATTAGTAAAATACTCGTTTACTGCAACAAGTGTACAGGGTATATATTATAGTTTGAAAAAAAAATCAACTAATGTTTTATCAAGAATAAAATTATTGCAACTCATTTAGGGAACAGGTTTACATAAGAACTCACTGAAATTGTTTACATATATCTGTGCATTATACTACAGATTACAAGAGTTATTCGTATACACAGTTTGATGGCGTAATCAAATGTTTTGAAAAACTGCCAGGAACATTCAAACAGGAGCCAATCTTGTAAGGAAGCATCGTCCTTGACGAGATTATATACACACGTACATTGTTGTTGAACTAATCAATGGCATCCAAAATGCAACAGATACAGATATATAGATTTTTTTTACATGATCATTAATGTTTCAATATGTTGAAAGAAGAAAATTAAAAAGGAAGACAAAAGGTTAAAGGACAAAACTATTAGAAATGGCATGTACGTTTGTCAAAATATATTCTAAGCTTTTTTTAAATCTGCTTCACATGTGTGCTTAAACGAAGACTTATATAACTTCCAATTACAAACTCATTACTGACACAATGATTTATCTCCCCTACCCTAGGTCTTTGTGCAATTTTGTCAATTCTCTGGAAAACTATAAAAGAAAAAAAAATTATATATATAAAAGTATCTACTGAAGAAAATCTACAAATAACTTATATGGACAAAATATCAGTCAACTTCTTGTAAAAGTTATGGCTTGTTAGAAAACTGAAATTATTTACAATTATCTTTTCAGGTATCGAAGAAGGCTGGAAAGAGAACGTTACCATACGACATCAATAGATTACAACACTCTTAACAATATGGCGAATACAAGTACGTCATCGGCATCTCCATCATCCACATCCGGAGGAACCGGAAACAAACTAGCGCAAGAAATACAAGATGAATTCCTCGTCTGCAAAATATGTCTGGAGGTATATAAAAATCCAAAATGTTTGGACTGTCTTCATACATTTTGTGAGGCTTGTATTGATAACCATGTCATGTCCGAGTGTACGTACAAAAAGTATAGCGATTACAGGGAGTTTACCTGTCCACTTTGTAGGAAAAGGACCCAATTACCGCTAGGTGGTGTGAAGAAGCTTCCAGATAATTTCCTTGTTTCCGGTCTTTCAGAAGTTGTTGGACGACAAAAACCTTCAAAATTCCCCTTCTGCGATATTTGCAAATTAGTCAATCATAAACACAGAGAAGCAACATCAAAATGTTTAGATTGTAGTAAATTGTTATGCAAGTCTTGCGTAGAGTTACATAAGGAAACAAAAGTTACAAAGGGTCATAGCATTTTTGATGTAGAAATTGAAAAAGATATCGAATGCAAAGAGCATTCAGAAGAAGTAGTTCGATTTTATTGTGAGCCATGTGAAACATGCATTTGCGTTCTCTGCACTTTCAACGAGCACAAAGATCATGAAATAACCCAATTTTCGGAGGCAGTGATTAAGTATAAGGAGACGATTCAAGAGTTGTTAGACAATTGTAAATCAAAGATCAATGGATACGACGTTCAACTTGTAGCATTATCAAAATGTGATACGGTCATTAAAGCAGCCGAACAAAGTATACGCGACTCTGCCATTCAGTACATCAGCGACATCAGGGCAAAGGAAAAACAACTGATTGATGATCTTCACGAGACTTATGGTAGTGACGTTATGGACTATGTTTCGAAGCGTACTGATATGCAGATCAACGTCGATAGTTTAAAAAGTACTTGTAATTTGACCGAACTCGTTCTGAAAGGTAAAGATATTGAACTGCTTTTGTTGAAAAAGCAAGTCCAGGAGAAACTCTCTTCTTTATCTGATATTGAGTTAAGGGATCTACCACCCACTGTTAATAAACAAATTGCATTCGTCCCTGGAGTTATGAATTTTGGAGAACTTTGCGAAAGCGATAAACCTGTGGGGACCGTTAATACACCAAGACCGATTGCATCTAACGCACCACAAAATACAATGCCACCTAAATTTACTACATCAATTAGTTCACAAACTGATGAACCTCCACCAAAAGAAGAACCTTCTACTACGGCTGCTTATGTACAGACCGATCAAGGACCTGGAAATGGTAGTGATAAGTCAGTGGGAACAGATATTGTTGAAGTCATGGAAAAAGCAGTAAATACAAGATCACGAAGCCTGCAAGGATCAACATCACAAATGCAACGTGTTGCGTCGGAAGAAAACGGAAGCGGAAATGACATCATTGCAGATGGAGCAGCACAGCGACGCCAGCGGAGAAGACGGGAACGACCAAAAATAGAGGTATCTGTTACACCTACAACTTATGCTTCAACTTTCACTATGGAGACACCATCTAGAGGCTCCGCAATTACTTATAGTAGTAGTATTGATGAAAATTAGCATAAGTTAAAGGTCAATATGCTTGGATAAATGCACACTGGAATTTGCTACGCGGCTGCCAGCTATGTACTTATGCTTGCTAACCAAAACAATTTTCTAATTATAATTTGTGATGATTTAACCCAAATGTTTATGGAATGTGAATCTTTAAGAGTGCCACTATTTAATTTAATTTTGGATTATAAACTATATATTTCTATCCAGAGTTCTGGATATAAACGATTGCTTACATCTGGCGCTGGCTGGTTTAACTAATGCTGCACTGCTTCTAACTTTGATGCCTGTTTTAGTAGAAGATTTTGTTTACACTAGTGATTTTTCTCTGGCTATTTTCTGTTTGCTTTAATAATGAAATGCACTATTTTTCAGACTTGATTAAAAGCTCAGCGATGGAGTACATGTATATTAGTTAGACTGTTGGTGAAGATAAGTGATAGAGCTTTGGATGAAGTATATATACATGTTGCCATGACAATTCGTTTCATTATTAGTAACCATGACTACAAGACGCCTATCTCAGATTACTTACAAACCGTTTGATATTTTTCAGTCGAAAGAAGAGTCAAAAAGTTCCTGTGTTATTGCATAAACCAAGAATTATCTACTACAGACGTAAGATTCGTCTTGGAGGGAACGTTTCGGATGATCATTACAAGTATATTCAGCACATAAAAGTTATATTGAGGAGAAAGCATATGAAATATGGACGGAATAATATCAGATGATGACAATATTGATTCTGAATTTGTAGGAATGCAAAATGCCTTGAAATGGATATTTAAGGATCTAATATTCTGCTTTCGTTGCTAAAGATGACACATTTAACTTTACGACTCACTTTCATCCCTCCTCAAACTGTTATCGTTATTACGCACATGTATGCGTCTATCACTATAAAAATGTTATGCTGTGGCTGTAATGTTATCAGTGGATGTAGAAATTTTTCAACTTAGTTAGAATCTGCTTCAAACAGCGTATTGTGATATTGTGACATTACATATATAGTATTATTTATTTATTTATTTAGACATATCCGCGTATCGACTAGATTCTTACATTAGAATGAATGAGAAGTTGTGATAGTTGACATGCAGTTCCGGTAATATGGGACCATTCTGTATGCCAAGGAATCTTGGGTAAAAAATATGGCGGAATATTTATTATATCCAACATTCATAACCATGTAAATATAATCATACGCCAAAATTAAATTAAACTGTAGTTGAATTTTGTATGTTATTATGGATAAATAAGCTCCTATTAACATGCATATTTAATTAGATAGTCAGTCAGTTTTGATTGAGTTCACTGGACCCAAGGAACAGCGTCAGCTGTTGCTATCGTTTGGTGTCTGTCGTCACTCCGTCATTCGGCGTCTCCGTCTTCCATCTGTTAACAAATGACAGCTTTTGAATGGCTGTTCCTGTATTTAATTTACCCATTTTAGTTTACTATGGTGTTGTCATATTACGTGTAGGCTGCACTTGTGTAATTAAGCAAAGCAATTTTCAATGGGAACAGCTTGCAAAGCAGATGCAGTCACTATCTATTAAGGCAGTTGAGGCGGGTGAATTCAACATTTCCCAGGAAAGGAAACCTGCACTACTTTTTTGCATTACTGAAAACATATCTGCTATGCGGCGTATTTTCACCTTTTACTGGCCTTCATTTATAAACATTGTTGAATCACACAAAATTTTCAAGCCAAGCGCTTGAGTTAGCTGTTACGATACAACGATACACGTTTCGTTGATTGTCAAGCGGACATCTTGCAAATAGCAATACACCTTCTAAATAATATTACGTTTAAATATTACGATAGCTATCATAAAAATTTATATACTAGTATGCAACCTTACTGATTCGTTTCAAATTTTGTATGGACTTTTTGCTCAAGCGCATGAAATAATGCAAAAATCATCATATTGCATAACCCGAATAATTCTGTCGTTAAATTCCGCTGATCTGCAATTACTCCATTAACGCCTGAATGCATTGACAATTGAAAAATCTTCAATCAATCATTCGGAATTAGCTCGGGAGTTACCTATCTCGATACTATTGAGCTGATTGCTGATTGGTCACCTCTTCTACAAGGCGCCAATCAAAATCCAGGATTCGTGAAGAGTCTTTATCGTGTAAGGAATTCAGGCCCTCGCAAGTAGGAAAGATCGATTACGGGGAGGGACTGAATTATTCGGGTTATATTGCAATAAATTTTGAGGCTATTCCGGGATGAAAATATGTATAATCCCCAATTTCAAAGAAAATCCAGTCCGGACCGAGTACAAGACAACCCGGCCTAAAGACAACGTGGGACTATCTATGGAGAAAACTCAGACCTTCATGGTGACAACTTTTTTGATCAATATAAAGAAATATAGTATAGATATAGAGTCAACAGGGACCGTCAATAGAGACAAATCAGTCCGTACGGCCTTCATCAATTGAGAAAAACAAGTCCCCGGCATAACAAAATGTTAACCAATTCAAACGAGAAAACCAGCGACCTGATGTAATCGTTGGAAAGGGCTTATTTCATCAGATCGACACGAAGCGCAAAAAAAGCATGGATCTACGAGTACTCGCAGTTACTAAAAGCTAATTCAAAGCTCTATTCAACTAACAAATAAATGATGTTATACCAGACTAAAACATCTCATTGCGTTGAAGACCCATCGCAGTGGTGTCCTTGTGGTGTTTTCTGCTCTTTGACTCATTCCACGATTCCATTCTCTATTCTATACAATGCCAATCATTACACATCCAATGAATTTAGTGAAAAGACGTCACAAATAGCCCGGGAAAAGTATGACCTTGTGCAATGCCAAATTATAAGTATCGACAGGAAGTAGGCCAATAAGTGCTCATAACTATATAGCAATAGTCTACATAACAAGTTTATGAAAAAACAATAAGTCAATGTTAGTTACCCCGGTAGTATAACTTATGCTTCTTATATAACATAGATTCTTCCATCTCTTATTTGAAATTATTAGATATTTCTAAACAAACTCCATTACACTATAATGAGACAACACTTACTTTTTCTCACATCTTTTAAATTGTACGACTTATTGACACAATGTTTCCTGTAATCAACAGTTTATTCTCTGCCTTCATCCCTTTTCTTATATATCTAGGTGATTTTGTTGATCACCATTTTAGTATCGTATCAGTCCTTGACATTCATCGTTTTTATTAAGATAACAGTTTTTTTCTCCATTCAAAGACATTTTTTTTTACAATGTGACGATGTATTATCGCATTTCGTCCCCGTTTATTACGTACATAATTATAGTCTTGAATTGGAAAAAGGTAAAACAGAGTGGCCCTCCATAAGTCGAAGCGAGACCGACAAATACCATGGCTAAAACAAATAAACGACAAAACCAAATCCAAAAACACTACACAGAAAAAAAACTATATAGAATAAATGGCGCAACCCTAACCAAAAACCGGGATTGATCTCACATGCTACGGAAGGGTAAGGAGAACCTTAACAATAACTCTCCGTATGACAAGAAACAATCCTAGAGTCGCCGAATTAGTTTTTTCTGTAAACTTTCTTTAACTTCTTGATCACTGCACATATGTTTATGATATTTTGCATACAAATTCAGCATATAAAATTTTCTGTTATCATTGGATCAACGAAAACATATTGTAATTTAATTAAATCAGCATAGGGTCACCAACTTCATTTTTAGTGTTTCGTCCAATGTATCACTATGTAAATTATTGAAAAATGTCGCACAACATTACGCTAAATTTGACGATTCGTGGGTAGTTTCTCAAGTTTGAAAGATGAATAACTAATACATGAAGACTTGCCAATACGGAAGTTAACCTGACTAGAATAATGTGTAGGGGATCATGTAAAATCAGTTCATATATTGGCGGAAAATGTGGCGATCAATTATTGTCTCTTAATGTGTCATATATTCAAATTTTCTTCTCTTCTGAAACAATATGTGTACATCTCTAAAGATGATTGCGCTCTTTACACATATATAATATTTAATGGTGATCAGGTGTCAGATGCGGCGACAATGAGTCAACATTGAGTCCTCAAATCTTTCTCTAAATCTAGATGGATGATCTGCACCAAATTTGCAAGAAATAATCAAATGTTAATAGACTGAGAGGGATTGCACGGAGGGTTACTAGTATCCCGAATTCAAGGATAAAAAAAACCCGCTGAATCCCGAATTCCCGAAAAAAAGAAAACAGTCCCGATAAGTGGAAATCCCGAATTGCCACAAAAGTAAAGGCCCAATACTAATGTCCTGAAAAAGGTCCTTTTGCCCCTCAAGGATTTGTTTTATAATGTTGTTTTTTTTTTCAATTCCTACTGGTTAAACAAAAAAAAGCGTAACCGGTAGAGGTCGTAATTTGTGATTGATCAAATTTCTCGTCCATTAAACAAATGCAGTAGAAACCTTTTCAAATTTTATAAGATTAATGATTAGGACATCATCTTTAACAAATTATGTCCCATTTTTCGATGGCAATTATATGACAGACAAAATAATAAACTTAATTTTTTTTTAGGTAAAATTATCGAAATATTCTTTATTAAGCTCAGGACAACAACCCATACTTTGCAAATTTTAGTGGTGGTGGGGGGGGCAAGGAAACCAGAGATGACTATTGATGTGTTAAACATCAATAAAATAAAAACTGACTGCTGCTAACATTTATTTTACAAAATAACTGACAAAGTAAATAAAAACTACCTCTTACAATGGAATGTTGTTCACTAATTGATTAACCATTTAAAGAAGTGCATGAATAATTTTAGTGATCTTACCAAACAATAACTGATCCTAAAGCGAACATTAGAAAAAAATGCCTGTCCCAAGTTAAGAACCTCAAACCTTTAATAGTCTTGTGTGTTATTAAAATTTTGGTTTCGGAGTTAAGTGTGTCGTCCATTTCGCGGAACTAGTACAAACTGTTGTTGAGGAGCTAGCTGAAACCCACCTCCGGGCACGGATTTTCTCGCTGCGTTGAAGACCCATTGGTGGCCTAGGCTGTTTTCTGCTCTTTGGTCGGATTGTAGTCTCTTTGACACTTTCCCCGTTTCCATTTTTTATTGCATTAAACATTTTAAACTTCGGACATTGATCGATATCGTCCTAGAATTACTTTCTCATACCTCTTTACAGATATAGAAATAAACAGATACAAACAATAGTGTCTTAAGGAATATAACACTAGAAATACATGTAATTCTCCATGTAGCCAAATTGATAATAAGAATTATATCCCATAAAATGGAATGCGTTAAATTTCAAAAATAGTAAGCCCAATTAAATTCCTAGATTATTGAATTTCAAATGGTTATAAAACTTATAACATTGCAATATACAGACAGATCAGAAGTCAATAAAATTATAACTAAAGGCGTGTTGATTTAAGAAATAGGAGGTACGAACCAAATAACTAAAGCACACAAAAAGGGATGATTAAACAAGGCAGAATGATAATAAACATATTTTCTTCTACATATGGATAATACCAAGTGAACAAAACAATGAGTAACAATTATAACTACTGAAGTTATCTATAGGGAGGATCACACAGGAAGACGAGTTTTCTAACAACTTGAAAGTTCATGGAAGGTCTGGTATGGATTCTGGCTAGTTTTGACTTGAACAGGGAATCTGAAATGTAAAATAAAACTGTAATAGTTTTTATTTCTGGTGAGTTTTAAATACCCCATTGTTTCCTCCAATGGGAACATTTTACTTCTGTACTATATGTTGAAACTGTTTTGACAGAGTTATGAGGAAAATGACTGTAATCGACACTACCTAAGTTTAACAATCACCATCACAAATTGGTTGACCGGTACGATATATCTGTTTCTCAATACACTAGCGACATGTTTTCACAGTTGTGTACGATATACTGTGTCTCAATACACTAGCAACATGTTTTCACAGTTGTGTACGATATATCTGTGTCTCAATACACTAGCGACATGTTTTCACAGTTGTGTACGATATATCTGTGTCTCAATACACTAGCGACATGTTTTCACAGATGTGTACGATATATCTGTGTCTCAAAACACTAGCGACATGTTTTCACAGTTGTGGACGATATATCTGTGTCTCAATACACTAGCGACATGTTTTCACAGTTGTGTACGATACATTTGTACCTCAATACACTAGCGACATGTTTTCACAGTTGTGTATGCAATATCTGTACCTCAATACACTAGCGACATGTTATCACAGTTGTGTACCTTTATATACCCAAATTGTTGTCTATGTATTATACAGAAATTTCCAGGTAGTCGAAAATAAAAAGTACAAAAGTATCGGGCATGGTGTATGAATTGAAAACTGAACAGCTGAGCTATTTTTTTTTATGCATTTTCATCTACACTGATACAGAAATGTATTAACTGAATGTTATTGAAAGCAATTCTTGTACGTTCGACAATAATCTATCTACAAAAAGGAAAAAAGATCTCAATATTTATAAAAAAAAATAATTATACGATTTAGTTAAGAATTTATTGTAGGGTTGACTTAAGAAAAGTATCCCCCTTTCTTAAGATATGATTTTTAAGGCAGTTTTCTAAAATTTATTCAGTAATTGCGATATATAAATTTTGACATATTGTAATGGCAATTATCAAGACTCTTTGTAGACCACCAGATTGTACTGTTCTATTTGTGTCGTTCGATTGCTGTCTTATTTCAAGCATACCTCAAATTTCGCGGCGATATAGTCTTTCTGCGCAGATGCGGCGAAAAGCCAATCAACAGCAGAAAAGTATTTTTACCAAAAAAAAAACCGATGTACTCCAGAAGATAACAGTACAAAACGTAGGCACATATTTACCTGCTTCTCACAAACACATTTTCTTTGAGTATGACATGTTCTGTAAATTAACCCGTCTCCTGCAGGTTCATATGCCACACAGTCTGAATTAACACCATTGCTATCTGAAAAATATGATCGATTTAAGTGATGTGATGTATCGTGTAGTGTAAGAACGAAGTGTAATTAATCACTATGGTGGCACGGGATTAAAAAAAAAAAGAAAAAAAAAAAAGGACATTTTGGAGTGGAGGATTGAAATGTCGTATCAAAGGTTTTCAAACTCACGCAGTAATAATGATAACGTTATTGACATTTTGCGAATAAGAGTGCTAATCTTTAATCCCCTGCTACTGTATCGTATGTCCCTAATTATATCGTAAAATGTTGAGCTGACCATCCCATTTTCTACAATCATGACAATGGGGAAATTTGTAACCTGTCTCACCTTAAAAACCACTCCAGATATGATAATTATCTAACACTTGCCAGAAACTTCGGACTATGTTGAATATAAAGTTAAATAAAGGGGGAAGGCACCTTTTAGACCCCCAACCACCCATAATATAAAATTTTCACTTTATAACTTAAGCTTCTTACAAAATTCTAAAGAAAATGCTACCACCCACAGTTTATTGATTTGAGTGCCTCCCGTCCCCCTATGTATTTTAATCTGGAACAGCCCTAACCAATTTGCTGGACCAGATAAAAGCTATTCCAACAAAATAGATACGTGAGGATAGGAAGGGACGTAAATATCCCCCCTCGACCAACAACTTACTTTAAGGGCATACGATACAGTTACAGGGGAGGTAATGACGTTGCTAACGTAAATTGTTATTTTCGCGACGTCAAACTGTGACTTATCGGGAAAAGATGCAGTTTTCGACTGATTTTTATCATTCAAACTGATGAACTTGTCAACGAGTTCATGGACCCCCTTGTTTAAAATGACATTTGGTTTCATTACGTAGGAAGATTATGTGTACCAATTTTCATGAAAAAGTCAATAGTGCAATTTGTTTTAATTTGATAAATATACAGCAAAAAATGACGTTTTTTTTTCTACATTCATGAACATATCATCCCTTCGTAAATTTCACGAGTTGGTTGACCGTTATGAAATAACCTTCTCACAGATGATATCGGATATGTTCCTTATGTCGTAACTACAATACCCTTCCCTTTTCACGAATGTGACCTACCGAATTAGACTATTTATCGGATTTGTAATAGCATGCATAAGCAACACGACGGGTGACACATGTGGAGCAGGATCTGCTTACCCTTCCGGAGCACCTGAGATCACCCCCAGTTTTTGGTGGGGTTCGTGTTGCTTAGTCTTTAGTTTTCTATGTTGTGTCATCTGTACTATTATTTGTCTGTTTGTCTTTTTATTTTTGGCCATGGCGTTGTCAGTTTGTTTTCGATCTATGAGTTTGACTGTCCCTCTGGTATCTTTCGTCCCTCTTTGATAAATATGAGTTATTTGTAAAAATAAAATGTACTAATTTATAGAACATAATATAAAACAGAAATTACATATAATTTAACAAAAAACAGCTTGTGTTTATCTTTTAAAACAAAAAAGTTATGTATTTCTGTTGAAAGGAAAAATACGTCCACAAATCCGAGTTTTGAGGAAATATCTGAAATTTCAACCTCAATTTACTCAAAAAGTAGCACATGATGGTATATTTTTTATAACATATTTGATTTAATCAGGTAAAAAATAGCCTATATGCAAATTTTCATCAAAATTTCATTATGGGATCAAAACTGTATCGTATGCCCTTAAGTAATTTTGTTGATACCATACAATTAATCCACATTCACAAAAGATGGAAGATACAATGAAATTCTTAATATCTTTATTTTTCAAATGTTCAAATCCGGACAATATTCGTGTACAACATCTTCATCGTTTTCAATATCAATTAAAACGGATTATTATATATAGTTGTACTAGTAATTTAAATAGTATTTACGACCAAGGGCTCCGGTTAACTTACAGTATTAAGTAATTTACGAAAGATCAACTTACGATGGGACTGCCCCGTAATGCGAACCTTACGATGTTATCTATCTGTATTGTGTACATTTGGAAGCAAAATGCTCACCATTCCATCTTAGCACAATAAGCACAGCATCTATATCAACATGAATACATATCTCTAAATTCATTTTTGTTCCTATTTTAGAATGTTTTCCAATTTGACGTTGGAGAGAATATTTATTTCTTATAATCGAACTTTCGTAAAATTATTTGTGTACACGGTTAGTTGTGGTGATATTCCCGAACTTATGTTACTTCCCCTTATACATTTACCTCCTTTTTTCTATAACTACACACCCTTTCTTAGACTAACTGATAGCTAATGACTCACCAGCTGTAAGAGATAATGCACTTAAAGATCCAAGTTCGAAGGTAGGTGAGTTTTCAGCAGTCTGATCTGAGGCACCAGTCCAAAATCTGTCAGCTACAACGTGAACAGTAAATAAGTAATTTTTATTGATTTAAAGTCCAAACATTCACTATCATCAATTATACATGATATTTGTTTAAGATTTCCATCTTACAAAACCGGAATTGAAATAACAAAACAGTCTTTTTGTAATGGTCAAACCAATCCTCGAATATAACAGTATACTTTTTTCTAAATATTAATTACTTATCTTCTGTTTACATCTACATGAAAACTTTTTGTGTCATAAAGTCGCCGCTTTGTTAGAATTCGGGATCGTGTATAGTTGCAGCATTTTTATGATGTTGTGTCTCATATAGTTGCCGTTTTGGTAGAAATGATGATTGCATACAGTTAACGCGTTGTTGGGAGGGAAAATAAGAATCACAAGTCGAAAAATCCAAATACAGAATTAATTTGATTTCATAGTACTGTAGTATCTTTTTACAAGCTTTTAGAATTTTAAAGTTTACATCGTCTTCAAATATTTGTCTTTTTCTGGCCTACTATCTGTTTTTTTTTTTTTTAGCCCCAATGCTAAATCTGATGCAGACGAGACGCGAATTCAGCGTGTCAAATTATATGTCTAATGGGTGGAAGATGTTTAACTGATTCATTTTGCTTACATTGATAAAAAGTATATCAATATTTTTACAATATCGGGATATTTCTAGCATTATAGTTGACTGTTTCTTGACTGAAGATTCATTATTTTTTTTATGTCAGTATTTAAAAATTTTGTCACAAATAGTATCGCATAACATGACCATATACATTAAGCTCTAATATTTTTATGATTCAGATTGCTTCATATTCCTTAGTTTTCCAAGCCATATTACATTATATGCAATTGAAATATAATATCATGATGATTTTTGAGAGCAAAAAGACTAAATGCGAAAGACATGCATAGCAGAAAATAAAAACTAGATGTGTCGGAACGACACGAATGGTCCCGCTGTCACAAAAAGCTTTAAGCCATCTGTAGGAGTGGAAACTTGAGAAAGAAAGTCCGTATAACTGTTTTTACGAAATTTTCAGTCCAAAGTCCTTAATTTCGGCAAAAATCAGCGGAGCAGAACCAAACGTTAACTCGGTCTGTAATTCACCATAGTTAATTCACGTACTATAAATCAGTTCAATATGTGAAGGCGTTTAGAAAAAAAGTCCATATAACTGTACGTTGCGGAATGCCGGATAAGGGTAAAACTATATGGCACCGACAACTTTCTTGCGGGGCCATACAAACATTCTGCAATAGTATGTATGGATTTCTATGATAATAATGTTGATTTCGTTTGATGTTATAAACAAAAACTATTTCCTTTGATTGCTTCAAGGCTATAGAAAGTCAAGTATATAGAGGTTTACCTAAGATATAAAAGGCACCGACATGACAAATGCTAAACGCTTCTAACGAAAAAAGTAACGACCTAATCAATATACAAAACAATAAACGATATAAATATAATAAACGCCCAAACGACAACCACTGAATTACAACCTACTGACGTGGGACAGGGACATAGAATGTGTCGGGGATCCACATGTTGGGGGCACCTAACCTTCACCTAACATGCGACAGTAATGCATACATGTGGAGAAAAACTTAGTATTTCGATTGATTTTTAACTTTTATGAACAGTAAATTTACAAAAAATGACGTATCAAATATATATTTCATGTCAGCACTTAGGTGCTGATAAATGGGCCGTGATTTTTTTCGGGCACGAAATGTCTATTAGCAGTTACGTCGACTCAATGTTTGTTAACATTTGGGTTTCACCAAATATTGTGATTAGATTACAGTATATAATGTGTTAATATGTTAAGGCACCATGTTCTCTAAATGTCAACTGTTTAATACTAACAAATTTCATTGGTGTGCAAATTCGACGGTTCACATTTCTTAAAAAAACGATGCTTAGGTTACCAGCAAAAGGTTTTTGATTTGATTTTTGGTGTTTTAACGCCACTTTTAAGCACCGCTTTTGGGCTATTTCGTGGCGGCCAGTTTTTATTGGTGGAGGAAGCCGGAGTGCCCGGAAAAAAAAAGACCTTCGATAGGAAAACTGACAATCCTAGTCAATTAAGATTGGAGTCGAGTGCACCCGCACGAGCGGGGTTCGAACTCACAACCTCAGTGTTGACTGGCTAGTGATTACAGTAGTAACTACTTTGACCACTCGGCCACCGAATCCCCCCAAAAGGTTTTTGAATAATGCGCTTGCATTATATGCTGCTACAGAGAAAGCTAGCACCTCTTTAGGATCCGAGTCGGTTTAGTTACAAAATCAGAGTCAAACTTAATTACAGATGCTATAATCTCATATACGCGTTCAGAGGAATACAAATCCAGGTAAACGAAAAATAATTGAAGGCATCGCTTGAACACCAAAGAGCGAAACCAGGAACGTTATCTATAGATCTACGACCACGACAACATATGAGCCTCCTCATGGGGGTTTTAATTATGTGATTACTTTGCCGTTTTTTTCAGTGATTATTTGATTACTAGACCAAATATTTAAAACAATATTTCAAAACAACATAAAAATATAAAACATTGACTAGGGGTAAAAATCCCTGCCCCACCCCAAATAATCAAAGTTGCTCCCTTAGGAACAATAGAGCTTGAAGATGTTGAATGAGGAGGAAGATGATACAATTATTCTTACATCAGAATTGTACACAACTATTCATCCACCAGCAAAAGATGCAGGTGATACTGTGTAACCGAAGGAGATGGAGAAGCTTCCTCAAGAAGTAAACGAGCTAGACATGCCAGAGAAGACTTCATTTACAACTTTTGCAGATTTTTTTGTTATTAAATATTTTACATTTAAGTTTTTATATAATGATTACCAAGCTTTCAGTTTATTATTATTTGATTACTAAAGAACATTAATTTCTGATTACCAAAGCAAATATTTAATGATTATGTGATTATATTGGCCAAAAATAGGCGATTATGTGATTACTGGAATCCCCCCTTCAACCCCTACTCCCCCCCCCCCCCCCCCCCCCCACCACCACCCCCAAGAGGGGCCTCACATATCGCTAGTGATCGAGTTAGACACAGACAAATCGTATCGATCACCCAATTCATTCGTGGTTGTGACTGTGACACTTGTGTAGTGTCAATTTCAGTCGTTTTTCCTCATAGTTCTTCTAGAGCAGTTTTCGTGTCAGGAGCACAGTCAAGTATTCAGTAAAACATAATTTGATAAGGTTTCAGGTCATTTCATGAGCTCTGAACCTGCTTACTCAATTTGGTTGATTGTTACAATTATACAATTAGTTTCTAGAGCAATTTCACTTTGCCTTTGATGACAATTGTCCGTTATCGTCCATTTTACAATAACAGCAGTTTGTTATTTTTCCTGACTTTTGACGATTACTATTGAGTATGACTTTGAAACCGTATGACATGGAGATGCATGCATGGCGGGAGTTGTTCTCTCTGTCTCACCTTGTAGGGTTTTTGCAGTTCTCATTGTATGACATGTTTATTTATTTATATCTTGAGTTATGACGCATGCCACTAGTGTACCTGCTTCCCGTCCGGAGAACATGAAATAACCCCCAATTTCTGATGAGGTTCGTGATGCTCAGTCTTTAGTGTTTCGTGTAGTGGTTTGTTGAGCCTGTTGTCCAGGGGTTGTCGTTGATTCATGTCTGTCACAATCGTTTTTCGAAAATTGTTTAATCATGAATAAGTCCGTTAGTTTTCTCGTTCGAATTGTTCACATTTTGTCATGTATATGTCATTTATAGCTGACTACACGTTATGTATTTCGCTCACTTTTGAAGGCTGTAAGGTGACAATTAAACTCTTGTGGATAATCTTATTTTTATATTGTTTGTCTTTTCGTCGTAATGTTTTTTACTTTTCATGGCGTTGTTAGTTTCTCATTGACTTATGAGTGTCTCCGCGGTATATAACGCCTCTTTAATGATATGTAAATAATAAAAATAAGATCCCATATAATTAGTAGACTGTTCAATATATGCACTTATCTTTCCTTCTATACATTTCTAGGAATATGATTGGTTAAAATCGACCGCGTGTAGACCCTGTATATTTAATATGGGCCGGGTTAGTAGGCGTGGTTTATTTCAATACACGGTTAGTAGTGGTGTTACGTCCCTTTATAAAAACAACACGGCGTTGAGGAAAAATGTAAAACGTTTCGCACGGACAACCAATGCAGAAACTGATGATGAACGATTGAAAATAAATGCAGAAAACACTTTAAAAGCTAACAAATTGTTATTGTTGGCATTTGTTTTATATAGACCAATGGAAGTAGGTTCTTTATACTGAAGACTTGATCACTTTGATAGTCAACTAGTCTAAGATAAATTCGTTACACAGTGTGCTAGCTAGTGACCTTATACGATATATATCGTATTAGGTCACTAGCACACTGTGTAACTAATAGTATCTTGTACAAGAACATATATCAGAATAGAATCAAGACCAGACGAATGATATGAAACCATTTCCATATTCTGCAATCAATTAAGATATGCATCAATAGCAGTCAAAACAGTGTCGTTACCTCCATCCAGAACTTGACCAACGCCAGTAAGCTCTGTTTGAGTATTAGGTTTCCAAAGATACGCGTCTTTTGCTCGACACTCGAACTTAAACGAAATAAGAAATTATTCTTTTATGTAAAACATGATCATTATTTCATTGTGTTCAAATACTAGTATTAAAATTAAAACAACGTCATATAAAATAAGTAAGAAAATACAAAAGAATATAAAGTTTTGAATGATATGCTGAACCGAAAACATCAATATAGAGCATACCCAAAAGATAACAATGAAAAATATTTTTGTATCCATAATCACGAAGTAGGTCTTTTTTATTCTAATATTAAGATCGTGATTTAAAATAGAAATCTTATAAATGGTTTCAAAAGTACACTGGCTACAAAAAAAAAAAAAAAAAAAAAAAAAAAAAAATACAATACAATACCACTGCACCAAGCCAACCAGTTTCTGTGTCGCACGTATAATAGCAATTCCCACTACCCGCGGGTATCTCGGTAAAATCTGTAGGGCATGTCGTCGTTGGTAAATCACAATTAACTGAAAGAATAATTGTGTATTGTATTAATTATGATAAAATTAAAAAAATATATGATAAAATTAAATGAATTTAGAACCACAAAACATTTAACAAAACATTACACAAATTTGGGGTCATTTTACCCATAAACTAACAAAAAAAAGTTTAAAGTTAAAATTAGAATTAAACAAAAATATATAGAATTAATTATTTAGTTGAAAGGCAGTTAACTTTAGTCTATTCCGAAACTCTCCTACATTGTTTTTGTTAAATTGAATATTTTATTTAATGTTCTTTATCAAGTATATATGAATGTAATTACCATCACAAAGCATTCCGTCGAAATTAGACACACATGTGCAGACCGGAAGTCCTTGGCTATCGAGGGAACATTGTCCACCGTTTTGACAGGGATTTACCGTACATGCATCCACTAAAGAGCAAATAAAGTAAATGTTTTAAATATATTAGTTAACAGTGATAAATAAGAAAAATAACACAACTACCATAAAATAAAATGATAAAATGACTTGTTATAACTTCAAACATATCCGCTACATTGTAAATCCACTCCTCTTGGACTACTGTAAAATCTTGGCAGTCATAATTGCGATTTTTGAAGATAGGCAAATAAGCGAGATTAATTATTGCGATTTCAGGAAATTCTGCATACAGCTATATATATATCAGATAGAATGAGCGTTGTTATCATTGCGACTCATGAAGTCGCATTATGCGCATTAATAACAACCTCGTAATAATATCTGAATTTACAGTATGTTGAATAGTTGGCTCATTGGTATATAATAACACCAAAACATAATATATATATATATATACCAGTCTAAAAGGGTACAACATCACCAAAAAATGACAATAAACGAACAAATGTAACTATAAATATTCCGGATAACAGATATCCTTCATCAGTATGAGCACGATGTAAAATGAATCAGACCAATCTATTCTGATTATTAAACTATAGCAATCTTGAATTATATACAATACAAAAAGTGAAACAGTTTCACCCGAACATCATATGTGGAGACGCTAATAAATTTGTAAAATTTCCAAAAAACCACTCAAAGACATGCCTAAAATGAAAATAGTAATTAGAGATATGAATTGGCACAACTCTAAAATTCCAAAATGACGTCAGTTAAGATGTTACAACAACTGCGTGTAAATACATTCCCCAAAAAAATGAGTGATGGTAGGGAAAATGAGTCTTTTTTCATTTATGCTCTCTCTGGGGTAACGATCCTTAGCTTTCTTATCCAAAACCTTTCCCGAGCAAGTCTTTCGGCCCTTTTGTTGGTCAAGGGCCGAAAGACTTGCTCGGGAAAGTCGATAGTTTTTTAGATGTTTCAATTCAAACGTCACTGATGAGTATAAATTCTTGATTTCATGAGAAACCTGGTGTCTATGAAAAGATCCGTTTTTCGGCCCTTTTGTTGGTCAAGGGCCGAAAGACTTGCATGGGAAAGGTTTTGGATAAGAAAGCTAAGGACAGTTTCCCCAGAGGGCATAAATGAAAAAACATAGAATGAGTCACTCATTTTCCCTACCATCACTCATTTTCCTGACATCATTTGTTTCCAGTTACTCCGGCTTCCATACTTGACTTTTACAGTTTTAAGGATTCTTTTGGAATTTTTTGAATTTTACTAGTTTAAATACCAGGGTTCTTTTCATTTGGCAGGGATGTACAAGTACGCATCCACGTCCAATTTCTTAACCTTAGCCCAGATTTACTATTATTTTTTCTTTTCTTTATAAAACTGCTATTTATTTAGGATGATAAATACGCAGCCTCTGTTTGACATATTTTACCAGCTTATATCGATCAGTGCTGTTTTTTTTTTTGGGGGGGGGAATGTATTTACACGCAGTTGTTGTAACATCTTAACTTACGTCATTTTGGAATTTTAGAGTTGTGCCAATTCATATCTCTAATTACTATTTTAATTTTAGGCATGTCTTTGAGTCGTTTTTTGGAAATTTTAAAAATTTATTAGCGTCTCTACATATGATGTTCGGGTGAAACTGTTTCACTTTTTATTGTATATAATTCAAGATTGCTATAGTTTAATAATCCGAATAGATTGATCTGATTCATTTTACATCGTGCTCATACTGATGAAGGATATCTGTTATCCGAAATATTTATAGTAACATTTGTTCGTTTATTGTCATTTTTTGGTGATGTTGTACCCTTTTAGACTGGTTATATATTATATTTTGTAGTGTACTGTATCATATTTATATGATCCATCGCCCCGTAAGATTTATCGTTGGCTATTATTCAGTCATTTTATATATATATATATATATTTATATATAAGTACGTCTGAACCAGTGACAACTCTACAACAGATTTATCCATCGGATCACCAGCAGTGATGGTGATACATGGCTGTGTACATTCTGTATATACAACTCGTCTAAACACCAGCCCAACAATGTTAGAACTGTAAATTTGCTTTGGCAAATATTTAATCCCGGCGAGGGAAGAACTAAATATTTGCGAAAGCAAATTTACAGATCTAACATTGTTGGGCTGATGTTTAGACGAATATATATATATACAAGTCTAAATTGAAAACAACGTTCAAACCTATGATTGCGTTGGATAAAAACCGCAATTTTTATACGTGTGCATGCAAAACAAATTCTTTGTAGAGGGGTTTAAATACAGCACAAACAACAATTTCCAAAAGACCAAAAAAGTGAAAAAGTATATTTTAACAAAACGCATTTGACTAGCATATATATAAACAAGTCAAAATTGAAAACAACGTTCAAACCTATGACTGCGTTGGATAAAAACCGCAATTTTTATACGTGTGCATGCAAAACAAATTTCTGAGTAGAGGGGTCTAAATATATTATATGCTATAAGCTACCTTTACTGTGAAATAAACTATTTCACTGTCAATATTTCATCTGTCCAAAAGTAGCTGTGCATGTGCTCCAATAACATATCGGTACGATAAATATCGTCTATAGTTTTTCAGCTGTTTCAATTCAAACGTCACTGATGAGTATAAATTCTTGATTTCATGAGAAACCTGGTGTCTATGAAAAGATCCGTTTTTTGTATCAATTTTAAAACGAAACGACATATATGAAATGTCTATTTAAATGGAACATGCTGCTATATACTTCGGATCCATAATCTATAACCAGAAAGCATAAATGCATAATGTTTTGTAACATATAACATGCCCAATATATAACAACTTGTTAATAGAATAACTGTTTTAAATTCAAACCTAATACGTCGCATCGATCTCCTGTATATCCATCATCACAACAGCAACTGACACTTCCATCACTATTTATTGAACACGTGCTTTTTTGTGGACATGGGTTGGCGTCTGCTTCGCATGGGTTGTCTAATAAGACAATTCAGTATAGTTAATATTTTTTCCTTTTATATCTACAGCCACTTTTAGACATTTGCGGAAACTGTTATACACCTACGATTAGTATTACAATTACACTTACAAGGTATCAATTAAATCTTGGGTCGTTTCAAAGTGTAAATATGAACCGTGGTTCAAAACAGAGACTTAACTCCTATGATATTTTTCTATAGTTAAACACCGTGATTTCAAAGAAATATCGATAAAAATGGCATCTTGGCAGCTTGAGGAGGAATCAGGACAACTCGGACCACAGGCAAATCGGACTAAGACAATTCGAGCCAATTTAAAGACAACTCTGACTACATTTAAAGACAGCTCGGACCATTTTGAAAGACAACTCAGACCAATTTGAAACACTTGTTGTCCATTCGTTTGATGTGTTTGTGCTTTTGATTTTGCCATTTGATTAGGGACTTTCCGTTTTGAATTTTCCTCGGAGTTCAGTATTTTTGTGATTTAACTTTTTGCCAGATTAGTGGCTCTTCGTGGTTTTTACGTTTAATATTATTTTTGTTTGTTTTTGTCTAGATTTTTTTCTTTTACATTAACGGGCCCGTGTTGTAATAAGTGATCAAGGAAATCTTTCAAGGTAGTTGAAATATCTTTTACCGTCAGGCGCAAAATGGTAATATTGGACTATCGTTACCGTCAACTTGATTCAATTTATATTGTGGTTTGTCAAATTATCCTATTTTTCGTCATGGAGAAATGAACTCTACGTTGCTTTATGGAGTTTTTGTAGACCTATTGTATCATAGATCAAATTTATTTGTTTAGTGTATGTTCACTGGTGTTAATATGTCTTTTTATTGAGGGAAGCCATTTCAATTGATATTTTATAGTGTGTCTTTCTATGTTGTGATGTTACACTATTGTTTCAGATAAGGATGAAGGTTTGGTACCATGAAAACGTTTAAACCCGCTGCAATTGTTTGCACCTGTCCTAAGTCAGGAATCTGATGTTCAGTAGTTGTCGTTTGTTGATGTGGTTCATAAGTGTTTCTCGTTTCTCGTTTTTTATATAGATTAGACCGTTGGTTTTCCCGTTTGAATGGTTTAACACTAGTAATTTTTGGGGCCCTTTATAGCTTGCTGTTCGGTGTGAGCCAAGGCTCCGTGTTGAAGACCGTACTTTGACCTATAATGGTTTACTTTTATAAATTTTGACTTGGATGGAGAGTTGTCTCATTGGCACTCGTACCACATCTTCTTATATCTATTTCGTTTGTATTTTCGTCGTTTTTCTTTTGATCATTATTTCGTTTAAATATTTTTAAAGGAATCAGGTTGTCTTTTAAAGTACACGGATGTCTGTGAACCAAATTTTAGAATTAATGCAAGCCAAACAATTTTTTTAAACGATGATTTCTTTAAAATTTCTTTAGAAATAAAGTGGTTATATGTTATCAAATAAAATTATATTACATCATTCTTGACTTTAATGCTCTTTGCTTGTATAAATATCTGAATGCACACGAATATTAATTGGATCCGAACCTGAATCAAACACATGACACTTCATTTATAATGTGATATTTTTATATTTCACTAGGAATAAATTATAAGCTGATATTTTAAAAAAAATCGCCAGCGCGATATGTACTACATGTATCGTTAACGTCACAAACAGTAGGAAAATACCATTTACATTAATTAGCAAGATTTAAACGTTATTGTTAAAAAACTATTTAAGTCGGTTAGGGAGAAGTTGTGGATATAAAAGTGTAATCGTATAAAAGATGTACGACTCCCATTTACTACATACCGCCCGCTTTTTTAAAGCGGGTGGAAATATTAATACGGAAAAATAAATAAATGATAAGTGTATTTCGTGCATTTATTTTATTTTCCCCATTATGGATGAAGAACACAGATTAACAATGGCAGCATTACCTGCCCTGATGCAGACTCCACCAGATGTTACGGTACACATTTCATTCGTCACCTGATTCTAACCACGCGGTAGTACGGGCTTGACCACCGACAAGCCAATCTTATACAATCAGGGAGGGAAATATCATAGGCAATGATTTATACTTTTGGAATGGGAGTGATGTGTTCACTTGTTTTGCAAGCAAACGATATTCCTTTTATAGGTGAAACTCCTGAAACATTACTTCAAATTGTAGCCGATGTTAATGGTCTCTTCAGACAGAGAACCGGTCGGGATCATAAGCTTTCCCAGGGAAACAGAATTCTTCATTTATGTTATGGTTACAGTCGTACCCGTCTTATCATATGATTTCTGAAATAGTTGACGTTAGTGTTTCGACTACCAAAGATGAAACACATACATGTATACCTATTTCAAGAAACATATAACCGTCTTATTTATTGGCCTTCTTTGGATGATTGGCAGAACTTACAAGCTGGGTGGCCAAACTGCCATTTGCAGTAGGGCTATCGACGGAAAGTTTGTGGCCGATAACGGAACCACAGGAACAGTATTTCTCAGGACACAGGGATTATCACTGCATTCACACTCAAGTTGTAATATTGAACTAAGACAGGATATGTTATGTTGAGTGCGGATTTCTTTGGCATCAGCAATATATGTTGATGAGAAATATAGGACAAGAATTACCTTTTCCGACTGAGCTGTTTTTGCTAGGTGACAACATATATCATAACTGATATCCTAACAGATATCCAGTATTGACGCCTTACCTAAGGCAAATCCCAGAACATGCAGAGGAAGTGTAGAAAATTAGATAGACATATTACACACTATAGAGTAGAGGTTGAACACGCCATCAGAGAATAAAGTTTTGGGGACTTTGTGGAGATTCTCATTTGTTGTGATCATAAGTTTCTGCAATTATGTGTCGTCGAGAAGACTTATTTACATGATAAAATAAATATCATTTCATTTTACTATGTATCTCAATTGGGGTTATATTTTTTGAGTTTGAGAGGACTCCTAGTTTTTTGTCAACTGTAATCGTAACTTTAAGTGTAATTCTGGGTATAAACCTAGTTTCCGTAAATGTCTTTTATGAGTATACTATCACTACTGTCGATCAATTACCAGCAGTATGCGAACTAACTTTATTTTCGTGTGTTCATTAAATAGGAAAATTAACTTTTACCTTCATAATGTTAAAAAAAAATTCAAAAATTGAAGGTTTTCCAAAAAAAAAGACGCGAGTACACAAAATGTGTGTAAAAATAAACAGCTTAAAAGGATGATATTGTTACACATGGTTTGTATAATATGACGGAAATCATTATAATACAAAACCTTTTTTCATTATAACATGTATAAGGTATCACATTAAACGATAACGTTTAAGGGCGAACAATATATTATTTTTTTTTAGATTTGAACGCTAGACAACCATGTATATTTTGAATAAACATACCGTCACAATTGGCACCTGTCCACTCATTCATGCAATTACATTGAGGGGTCAAATCTATCATATCGATCAAAACGCAGATACCTCCATGTGCACAGTAAAAGTTCAAACATGGATCTGGAAAGATATAGTTTATCATCAAATAAATAAATAAATTGATAATTACAAAAAATCTTTGGTTTTTATTTCTTCTCCTTCTTATTTATTCTCGTCAAGAAAGATGTTTGAACCGCTGATTGGCTGTTCCCGAACTCATTTGCATTTTATGTTGTTTATGTTTTCTTGTACATTGTTTCCTATTAAAGATACATTTGAATTGCATATTCATTCGTGACAAAGAAACTTCAATTTCCATATAATTTATTTATCAAAAAACGACACCGTAATTACCGTTTTCATATTGGAAATGACCTACATCTGAAAACTTCACATTTAGAAATATAAATCGTTTGAGCGTTATCATAGGGGAGTCTTTGATGTTAAACGATGATTATTTCACGTGTTTAATCTAAACATTTTATAACTTACGTGGTATGCATTGGTAATCCAACCAGAGTTGAATATCATTGCTGTACTTTGACCATGACCTTGCTTCAGGCTCTTCCTCGTTTATACAATCATCCTCATCAAAAAGGTCACTGACTGTAAATTCACATGTTTGTTTCCCATTACATTCGCCCTCCACTTTGACTAAGGACTGTGGGTCGCTACATAGGTCTTTTCCAGGTTTGCCGCCTTTACGTCCTTTTCCGTGGTAACGATTTTTTCTCGGTTTACGAGGTTTTGCCTGACTACCATAGTTCGCATTAACCACACTGATAACTTCCCCTTCGCCACAAGTAATTGTGACTACCTCATCATCGTCGAATACGTCATTCTCTGAAGATAATTATGACAATAAAGTTTGCTATAATTTTTAACCACAATAGTAATGAGAACTATTAGAAATAGTTTACTTAGTTTAGTTTAAACAATATTTAATTCGAAGACATAAATTGAATTGGATTTGAAAACAAGCCCTCTCAACTAGATGTAGAAAATTTGGCCGAAATAGAATGTCATCAGGCAATAAGAATACAGAAATCACCATTTTCTTTTAATCGTTTTCTGCAATCAGTGAAGAAATCTGGTTTTGAAGTTAGATTAGTTAATCATAAATCGGTCTGTAAGCGTTTTGATTGCTTCCGAGATCGTCTGTGCGGACTTCATTGAATTGTGTAAGCCTAGAGCTTCAAATCCAAAATATACTGTTTTTGATATCTTATAGTTCCTTCTGTTTGTTTTCATAACAAAATGAACCTCTTTAGTGCCTATTTATCATACGTTTACAATAACACAATGGTACCAACTGCATTAAATTCACATTTCGAACATGAAGAAGATACATTGATTAGTTTAAAATAGGGTTATAAAGACGTAGAACAAAAATACCAAAGTGAAATTCAAAAAGGGAAAGTCTATTAAAACTAACATAATCCAACGCTATTAATCAACGGAACAATTGAATACAACTGTCATATTCCTGATTTGGTACAGGCAAAAAATTCATAATTTGAATAAACATAGGAAAACAAATGAGATTTTAGAATAAATCTCTTAGTGATGATTGATGCAAATTATTGAAACGCTAGGTTCTTAGTAGCATACCCGCTTGTCTACTTATAATATGTAAGTTATCAGGAACAATCATTAATGCGTGAAGAACATAAACTTAAAACTTTAAGAATGTTCCTTTGTTTACATTACTATATGTTGACGTCAAATATGAATTGTATGATTGCATGTTCAGCATAGGGAACCTTTCCGAATTTCAGAAATTGTTTAAGCACCTGCAGTCTAGAATACATATTGTTCAGATAAGTAATACCGAGTTTTGTGAAGAAAGGTGTAAACACGCCAAAGTGTCTATTATGTAGATTTTTAAAGTATTTTAAAAAACTCCTGAACACAAGATCAACGATACCTATGCATTAATTTAGTTTCTTTGTTTACATTGATAATAATGCCATATATATGTATATAAAAGGCATGACCAACTGCTGGAACACTTCCTTATATCATTATAAACATAAGAAGATCTGGTATGATTATCAAAGAGACAACTATCCACTGGAAATCCAATTAATGACATAAAAATTAGCAAGTGTAGGTCACAGTACGGCTCTTTTAACAATGAGCAAAACCCATGACGTTTTCAACACTAGTGTGCGATAAATAAGATTTTTTTTGTTTACACCGAGTTATTTATTAATGATACAGGTGTAAACCATGAAGCCATTTACTTGTATAACTCATTATTTTAGAATTATTTATATTGTAAGTAATACTATTAGAAATTATCATTTTTTTATGAAATTTTGTAATAAATAAAGTTACTTATAGGGACTTTGTCCTCTTTTATTGATGATAGTTGTATTTTATTTTTTTTATTCTTCCGAAAACTTAACTCCGGTCTGTGAAACAGTAAATGATGTAGTAATCGAGATATGTATGTAAAATCAGATATCGCAGAGAATATGTTAATGATGAGAAATTGGTAATTTACAATTAAATAGTTAAAATCATCATATTTGTAATATATTCCAGTTTGAAGTCGTCAAAAGCTGTTTATGTACAAACTTAAAAGGTGCCATGATAACAAATATTATTTAGCATTTGATATTCAATGATAACTTCCTTTCAAATAGTAGCGTGCATACTGTTTCAAATATTTAAAAAAAGATTTCGGATAAAGAATTGAAATCAAGATACCATGTTTTGAAGTTAGTATATTGTAGGTACAACACATCGAACACATGTGCTCAAAAAGTTTATGAAACCTAATTATTACTAGAGATCGGATGAGATGAAAGCTTTTTCCTAAAGGATTTCTAATAAATTTCATACAGAACAATTCAACTGAAATATAAATTATTGTCACATTAACCTATAATGTCTGTTTGGGTTGCGCGCCCAATTATGTCTTAAAACAGAACTATAAACAACTGTCATACAAGTCGGAGGTTTAGCTAGCTATAGAACCAGGTTAAATCCACCATTTTACACATAAGGAAATGTCTGTACCAAGTCAGGAATATGACAGTTGTATTCCATTTGTTTGATGTGTTTGAGTTTTTGATTTTGCCATTTGATAAGGGAATTTCTGTTTTGAACTTTCCTTGGAGTTCGGTATTTTTGTTATTTTACTTTTGCAATACAAGCCAAAGAGTTAAGATAAAACAATTCATCAAAGTTATTTGGCTTGTAATTTTGTATTCGAGACGCACGTTATGGCTACAAAAGATTCAGAAGTGACGCTAGAATAAAAAAAATTGAAAGGCAAAATAAAGTGGGAAGATGAAGAGCATTGAGGACCCAAATTTCCGAAAAGTTTTGCCTAATACAGCTATTGTACTCTATATCTTACGAAAACAGTCTTATTATGCGATTGTTCAATACGGGTGCCAAACAACGATTGCCTCATGTGTGGCAGGATCTGCTTATCCTTCCAGAGCACTCGAGATCACCCCGGTTTTTGGCAGGGTCCTTGATGCTCAGTCGTTAGTTTTCTACGAAGTGATTATCTAGTTTACATCTTTTGCTTGTCTCTTAAGAGTATAAAATAACAGAGTTGATAATTGTATTAACTGACAGTTTGACAAAGCATTCGATAGTGTCCGAAGGGGAAAGGTAACAACGACTAAAAACAGTTATGCTGACTCGATGCAACAATAACATTATGACTTTTAAAGATATGTATGGAGTAAAACAATGACACAAATAGCACAAACAACTGGAAGACATCTAGAGGTCACCAAATTCTAAATATCAACACAAGTTCTTAAAGAATACATAAGTGTATTTCTTTTTAAAACTTTGGTCGGTTATGGTATCTGCGATCACTGACGCGACTTTTTATATATTAGATGTCCAAACAATTGACTGGAGATAGCAATACAAAGTGATTATTTGTACCATCTATGCAAATTGAATACATTCAAGTCTTTTGCTATTCTTGATCATCAACATGGTCTCTGATTGATGTCCAATGCTTATTTGTACTTTTTTCTCATATTACCTTTACTACCGCTGTCTTTATCATATTTATGATGTCTTTCCAATACTGATTGTCGTCTTGACACTGGAAAAAGAGAAAAAATGTGGATAAAAATGTGCTGTTTTCAAAAAGTTAAGAACGATTAGGTGATCAAAATCCCAATAGAAAACTTTGATTAAACTTCATTTCAAATCATATTCCGAATAAATTAACAGATCATAGTAGTGATATATATATATATAAATAACTAATCGAAGAATTAAAAAAACCAAAAATATTCAACGAGTGCGCACATGTTGTTTGGTCACGAGTTGAATATTTTTCAATATTTGAATTCCTCGATATTCCTTTTATTACATGGACCATGTGGTTTTTAACGGAAATAAAGTTATTTTGATGCAACGTCAGCGACAACGTCTTGAAATTACCCATTGTTGTATGACGTCACAGGAGTGAATTTATCGGATTTATTTCACAGGTGAAATTATCGGTTTTTATTTCACTGGGAAATCACGGTTATTTTTTTGTTGAAACCAATGTGATAATTATAGTTTTTATAAACGAACGGCATTTCAACATGTTTAATCAATATCTTATATCGACGCTTAATTATTCACACCACTGCATGACTTTGTACAAATTTTGCAGATTGGTTAATCTTTGGTGGTCTGTATTGACAAGAGGACTAAGACTTGAAGTGACCATCAAATATTTTTTCAAGCTATCGGTAGTTCGAGAAGTACTAGTAGACAAAATTCGAGTGCCGGAAGTTCAAGAATTTGCAAAATTGTTTGGGTTCGTACCGGGTCGTTTGTAGATTCTTATTTTCCTGGTAGTCAAAATAAAGTTTTTTTTAAAACTTTGCATTATCTTCATCTATTCGATCGAACTTTAGATAAGAATACTGCAGTGACAGTTACGTCTGCTTAGTATCTTGACTTTCATCTAGAAATTGACAATCAGGATAGGTTGAGAGTTTTATTTATGACAAAACAAATGATGTCAAATTTACCATTCTGAACTTATCATTTCTGTTGAGCATTATTCCAGCAGCGCAAACATACGGAATATATATGTCCAAATATATACGATATTAGTTACAGTTGTTTTTAATTCGTTTGATGTGTTTGAGCATTTGATTTTTCCATTTAATAAAGGACTTTCCTTTTTGAATTTTCTTTGGAGCTCGGTATATTTTTTTGTTATTTTACTTTTTACTGATCACAAGATAGTTATTACATTAAACGTTCTGATGGTAAAGATGGAGTCATTACTTTCTATGTTGCTAGTGTTAAGTTTTTATTGTTTCTACTTTCGTTAACTATTTTTTTGGCCTAATGAATTATTATTGCTCCCTCTCTGTCTTCTCGTTCTTTTGATATTAATACATAAAGATTACTTTAGTAATTTGAATGTTGAAATTGCTTGATGAAACTTGCCCAAATACTTTCTGAAAATATTTAGTTGTTGTTATTTTCTTTGCGTTAACTATTGTGATTGGACTGATAAATTGTTATAACTGCTTTTCTGTTTTCTTTTTCTTTCTATAGTAATATTTAAAGATTACTTTAAAATACATAGTAATTTGAATATTGAAATTGCTTGATAAAACTTACCTAAATACTTTCTGAAAATATTTATTTATTGCGATTTTTCTTTCGTTAAATATTTTGATTGGACTTATAAATTGTTATTGCCTCCTTTCTATCCTCTTTTTTTTTATAGTAATATTTTAAGATTTTTCTAAAATACATAGTCAAATGAATATTGGAATTGCTTGATAAAATTTGCCTTAATACTTCCTAAAAATATTTTATTATTTATATTGTCCTTGGGTTACATATTTTGATTGGACTGATAAATTGTTATCGTCTCCTTTCTGTCTTCCTTTTCTTTCTTATAGTAATATATGAATATTACTTTAAAATACATAGTACTTTGAATATTGAAATTGCTTGATAAAACTTGCTTTGGTACATTCTTAAAATATTTTATTGTTGCTATTGTCCTTGCGTTACACATTTTTATTGGACTGATGAGTTGTTATTGCCTCCTATCTATCTTCTTTTTTTCTTTTTTATATTAATATTTAAAGATGACTTTAAGATACAAAGTAGTTTAAAGATTGAAATTGCTTGATAAAACTTGCCTAAATACTTTCTGAAAATATTTAGTTATTGTTATTGTCCTTCCGTCAAATATTTTGATTGGACTGATGAATTGTTATTGTCTCCTTTCTATCTTCTTTTTATCTTTACAATAATATCCAAAGATTACTTTAAAATACATAATAATTTGAATATTTAAATTGCTTGCCTTGATATTTTCTAAAAATATTTAGTTATTGTTATCGTCATTGTGTTACATATTTTGATTGGGCTGATGAATTGTTATTACCTTTCCTATCTTCTCTTTCTTTAAATATATAGTAATATATGAATATGAAGATTACTTTGAATTGCATAGTAATTTGAATAATGAAATTGCTTGATAAAACTTACTTAAATAATTTCTGAAAATATTTAGTTATTGTCATTGTCCTTTCGTTAAAGATTTTGATTGGACTGATGAATTGTTATTGCTTCCTTTCTATTTTCTTTTTCCTTTTGTAGTAATATATGGAGATTACATTAAAATAAATAGTAATTTGAATATTAAAACTGCTTGATTTAACTAACCTAAATACTTCCTGAAATTATTTTGGTTGATACAACTAACGCCACAAATAAAACCAACTACGCATAGTACCTGTAACTTCATAGTTTTAATGATGTACTGTTGTAAACAGATTGTATCGAATGACGATCAATGTGTATTTTGTCGTTATATATCCTGTTTAATAAAGCAACAAATCGCCATGATAGTACTTTTATTGGTTCATCTCATTATGAGTACAATTAACCAATAATCTATTACGTGGGTGTTTATCAACAGTCGACCTTCTGTATATTAAAAAAAAACATTTCATATTAACTTTGATTTTATTTATACCAGGACAATTTAATCATAAGAGTACGTTATTTCTTTTTATTGACTTTATTTTTAGGAATATGTTTGGCTGCTTCTATAGAAACCGCATACAGTTATGTCATTTTAAAATAAAATCCTTAGTATAAACCCATGAATATCACGTGGCCAAAATTGTCAGTCGATTCCTCATAGTATTTTAAGACTTTTTTGTGGAAATTATAGTAGAAAGACAAAAATTGTAAACTTAAAAAACTATCGTGAGGACAATATCTACAAATAAGACTGTTAAATGAATAAAAACTACTTATAGGAATAATTGCCCTTGAAAGACAAATTCAAACAATTTCGTACATTATGCGGAAACTATAGTAGGTAGAGGGAAAATATGATAAAAAAATTATCAGTATGACAAGATCTACAAATACGTCTGAAATCGTCACTCAATCCCTTATAGAAGTTATTACCAAGACGAATTTTACTATTTTTGTGTTTTCTTTAACTTAATTTGGAATAGAAAAAACTGAAAACAGCATAACATAATCATCAGGACATGATCTGCAAATAAGACAACATGGTCGAAGATGACAAACACACATTCATTTTTATAGGCGTTATTGGCCTTGAAGGAAGATTTGTTACAATTTTCCTTGTTTGCAGAAATTTTGGTAAATGAAGAGATACTTTGTACAGCAAAACTTATCATCAGGACTAAAACTTTTACTGGTTAAACATGACTTAAATTGTCAGTCGACTCCTCATTGGGATTATTTCCATAAAAAAAATGAAAACAACACGTTATAAATTTCATGCGTCCGAAGCGCTTGTCTGGATTTACCTTCATGAGGAACCCTCAAAGTCGAATATTTGAGAGCCAAGGATGTATAACAAACTTAACAGTTAAAGAGCTTTATGACAAAAAAGTACCTAAAAAAATAGCCAAATCCGTCTAAGGTTATCTTTGCCTGAGGGAGTTGAAACCTTAGTTTCTTTTTAATTTCAAAATTTATAAACGAACAATTTTAGAAAGGTTTTGTTATAAATCATGTCAGTCAAAATCGAAGTACTGACTACTGAGCTGATGATACCCTCGAGGACTGATAGTCCACCAGCAGAGGTGTCGATGTTAATGTTTCCAATTTTTAGCTCACCTGGCCAATAGGGCCAAGTTAGCTTTTCTCATCACTTGGAGTCCGTCGTCGTCGTCGTCGTCAGAAATGTTCAGAATGTTGAGCTCTACCTATTGTTTATTACGTCAAAACTTTCAGTCAACATCCTTTGGGAGTTATTGCCCTTGAATGACGAATTTTACCAAATTCGTTTTAATTTCTGCCTTTTATCTTGAAAATTATAATAGATAGACAGAAACTTAATAGAGCAAAAATGATCAGTGAGATAAGATCTACAAGTTAGTCTAAGGGCTAATATTTTCAGTCGACTCCTTATTTACTGCCTTTTATCTTGAAAACAATAATATATATAGATAGAAGCTTTTGATAACGAAAATGATCAGCAAGACAAGAGATACAAATACGTAAAAGGGTTGAAATCGTTAGCCGACTCATTTTTTAGTTCTTGCTCTTTAATGACGAGTTTTACCAATGTTGGCCGTTTTTGCCTATTATCTTGAAAATTATGAAAGATAGTTAGAAGCTTTTGATAACAAAAATGATCAGCAAGTCAAGATCTCTTAACAAGTCAAATTTTGTCGAATAGTAAGAAGACTCTTTATAGGAGTGATTACCCTTAAATGGCAATTTGTTTATCCTCTCTTGTGTTTGGGGCAAAAACTAAAGAAGATGAAGAGAAACTGCAAACAGAAACAATTATCAGATCAACAAAAAAGAGATTTATGTCTGGAATTCTATTCTAGTCTACAATGTTGGAGAGTGTCCATTGTTGAAGCTGAACATAGACCTTGGTGAGCGACACAGTCTCTTTAGAGCCTCTAGTTTTATGAAACCTTTTGTAGAGCAACTGAAAACTGCAACATGTCCAACATGACAATATTAAATAATAAGTCAACATGGCGGAAATCGATCTTCTCCGTTTATCAATTTTCTGCATGAACTATCAGAAATATTTGTGTTGCATTCTACCAATTTCATGTAAACATGAAAGATAAGCAATAATAGCCGATAGAACCTCTAGTTACTGCTATCGCAATTTTTTCTTTTACATTTTGTTATTTTCTTTTTCAAGCAAATAATAATCTTGTACTTCTGCAGTAATGTACTTATTATAAGACGTTTATAAAAGTACTTATTGAAAGTAACACCCCAAGCAAATATGTCGAAAATCTAAATTTGTTTAACGAACTTTCATTACAAAGTCATTAAATGACTTTTAAAATCTTATTATGTTTGACGTGGGTTGTATTTGTAAAAACGCATCCAAGCATTGCTTTTATACATATATTTGGATGCGTTTTTATAGTTGTTTGTAACACAAATCAAAACCTGTTAATAAGCTTTTCAAATCCACATTAGATCGCAAAAGGAGTAAACCGAAGCAAAAATTATATCAAGGTAGTAGAATTGTTGATTTTATCGTTCTACTGCCAAATATTTAATTAAACATAAAGTTTACTGTCCTTGTTTTTAAGAAACATTTTCTTCAAATGACCAATATTTTGTAATATCAAGCTGTTTTATTTGATCGAAATGAAACTATTTAAAAAATTTCCGATATAACATATGAAAAGATAGGTCCTACAAATACATCCATGAAATTAAAAAGACAAAAATGGTGTCACTGTACTCATTTTCTTCCTATATAACAAAACAAGAAGTTGCGCGTTTGATCGAGCTAAGTATAACCCAGCTTGTAATTCAATGTATCTGAAAACAGGGACGAGGTGTTTGACAGATATGAAAACTGTTCACACTTAACAACTCATCACTGTCAAACTACTGACTAAAAATTGGACAGACAGAAGAACCGACAGTCGGACAAGGTGTTTGCAATATAGTATACAATACAACGACATTTCGAGTTTTATAAAGCCATAATAAAGCGCATATTTTCAAAGAGTTATCATAAGACAAATGGATAAATGTTTAAATTTGTTATAGAAGATCGCCAGAAAAAGCACCGATCGTATTCATGTACTGGCCTTTTGAAATTGAAGCAAAATTTAGTTTGAATATATAATAAAATAGTAACAAAAGTAGATTTTATGTCCTACATTCGGCAGTAAAATGGATAAATATCTTACCCTAACAAAATGTTATTAAGCAAATCTTGATTCATTTCGTGTACCTGGGTTGAATAGTATTTAATTGTCTTTACGGAAATAGACTGATATTACCAACGTTTACCTTTTAAATGCAGAATAAAACACAACACCAACCTGCTGTTACATTCGTTTTAATTACTATTGACTTTTTTTAATTTTGGGACTGTGTGTGCTTTTGCTATCTTTATGTGAATAAAAGTAGATCTAGGGAGTATACCAATAAAACGTAACACAATAACTATAATACATCAAGATTTCAACAGTAAATAAATGTATGCACAATATGCGAAGCTCACAGTTTATTTCTTTTCATTTGTTACTGGTTAAGTTATATGTTTTGCAATTCATAGGCTAACATTCGTGTTTGACCGTTCAATTTAGAATGGAAGAATTAACGGTATTTTCGTTTTTGATTATTACGTTTAATTTTAGCTTGTTATTTGATGATTCGGCAGTTCAAAGAACTCATGGTAAATAAAAACACATTGAAATGTCCTGAAGTTCATTATACTCCTATGGAATTAATTGTTTCATTCACAGCATAACTTGGGATCATTTGAGTTCTAACTATTCGATATGAAAATCCCGTATATGTACTTTTTTTATACAAGGGACATTGACTCAAATTACTTAGTATAAGTTTTAATTGATAATTAATATATATTTTTAACTTTAGTGTTCGGAATCGGGCATCTGGCATCGTGACATATTCATCAGGACAAAAAAAAATAAAACCTTTTACCCCTGTTTTATCAAATATGCTACATTCGTATGGCAATCACAAAATTATTCGTGTCTAAAAACGAGATGGCCTTAACAAACTTTAATTTTTAAGAAAGTGATTTGAAAGAGATTGTATTATATAAATGATTTTACGACGGTTGTATAAGCAATTACACACCCAAACATTATTTTAAGTTTATATTTTCAAAGCAGATCTAGGTGTATTCATACTCATTCCTTATATAGAGTACAAATTATTAAAACCTTGTTTACGTCCACATTAGATTCAAACGATAAAATCTCAATCGGAATTAACCAGAGCAGGAAACTGAAGATAAAAGGTAATGTAGTATACAACAGGAAATTAATTTAAAAGTTAAGTACTTTAGCTTATAAGTGTCATAAAGTCAAGTACGAGGGTTGACCTGTACAACTAATTTTCTTTCCATTCGTTCCTTACTTTATTTATTCTGTATATCCATTTAAAAACATAAGTCCTCGAGAAACAGGGGAAAACGGAAGAAAATTTACGTACTTGTGTGCAAAAATTGAAGCAGGAACATCAATTTGCAATAAATAAGACTTAAAGAGATTTAATGTGAAACCATCTTGAGGTGGAACATATTTTTTGCACAGCTGGAGAAAACTACTCAATAAATTGTACATCCTATTTCATAAATAAAACATAATCGACAAACAAGTTTTTATCATCCAAATCACTCAGTTTGGATTCTGCATATACAGTAATCATTCAAACGACTACAAAAAATATCAAACTTCATTTAATTGAATCATTAATCATTTGTGATAATTTTGTTTTAAGTTTTTGTGTTTTATGGATGAAATCACAACATCGTAAATCAAAGGGATCTATTTAATCTTAACAGGACAGGTAATGTTCTACTTTACAATACAACCTTATACACGTGGGACTAGCGTACTGCATTATAAGCCT